ATTCCTATAGGATTCCTATATATTCCTAAAGGAATATATAGGAATCCTATAAGACATTTTCGTAAGGGTACGGTAGTCTCGAATCAGTTATATATTCAATAGATTGTACGGAGATGGCGCCCGTGCATTCTCAAAACGCAGATCTACCACAGCAGGATGAAATAGCTACATTTTAAAATGTTAAATTGATTGCAACATGTAATCAAGGGCTTTCGAATGATATATAACGGGGAAATTTGGGTCCCAAATGATGTGAAAGGTCATGTGGGTTATGTGAAAGGTCGACTCTAAAAAATAAATCAAGAATGAGTCGCGCATCCACATTAAAATTACAAAAGGAATAAGCTATCGTCGTTGCAAATCGGTTGTGAAACCTGAGAGCAATTCACCATACGACATCCGGTCATACATATATCTGCAGGTCGTTATGTATGGAGACTTCCGCACTCGGACCCCACGCATCCGTGAGGGCCGCTTCAATGACGAGGAATGACAATTTTTTCCAATAGATTTTCCCCTCATCATATCAGAACTCGCTGAACGAGTCTCTGACTCGACCCTACGACTGGCAAAATTTGGGGATAATCATTGGAAAAAAAAACAATAACCTCTTCATGAACGTAACATTTTTCTTCATTTAAGCTAGTTGTTTTTGTCACATGCTCTCCCTCTTCCTCTAAGATGAACTCTCTCTTAGCGGCATTATCTTCCATCCTAACCAGGACGTTTCTGTTGCCTGGATGAGGCGCGCAAATTCTAACCATTTTCCAGAAACTATGAGAGAAATGAAGCTTGGTAGTTTAATGATGTGCTAATGACTTGAGAAAAAATCAGAATTTAGAGCAATTACACCCCGAGGCACATTTGTTCAAGAGGTCTTTCCCATGATAATGCTTCGCTTCGCCGAATCGTGCAGCTCAAGAAAGCTGTAAAACGGAACAGAAGTGCATGTTATTGTACAGGGTGGGCGAAAAGTCGCGTTATCCCAGAATTGCCCTATGACTAACGCCTTCACGGCTTCAGTCAGTGTAACACAGCTGGTGAGGCTGTATTGTCGCAAGCATGGCGCACACGAACTCTTATTCAACCGAAGAAAGAATGGTTGCTAGTGTTTGGGTTCGCGAAAGGCCTGTCACATGTCAAAGCATGCGTGATATGAGGGCAGCATTTACGGAACGGTTTGAGAAGGAACTTTCATCAAAATGACATTGTGGGAAAAACTTGCGTTTAAAAAAGGAAGTGTGAAGGATAGGAAACTCTGTGGGTGAATCTGCGTAAGTACGCACATGGACCTATGAAACGGCGTAAGTTAAGGGTAAACCGACTTTTCGTCCACCTTGTAAATTATTCATTTTTTTAAACATTCAACTTTTTGGGACCATCCTTCTTGCACCATACTTTTTGGCAGGTGTATTTATCCTGTTTTCTCGTTCCGCCGGAGTGGAACGAGCAAACATCGAAATGCGAAATATGCAAACGTAGCTCGAGATTAAATTTTGAGGTGTTGATCCTATGAGTAATCCTAACATCTTTCGCCTGAGGAAGACGAATTTTTATAGTTGCATTATGAAAGCGTTTGATGAAGGAAATATTCGAAAGACACCTTTTGGGGGGAAGCTACCGAAGAAACATCCACATCATTGAACCTAGGAACATATAATATTGAATCAACATGAATTCAATGTTGATCCATCAATGTTGATGATGACTACAATGTGCTACTAGGAACGTAACTTCATACCATAATGAGAAGTACTCAGAATCTAAGGAGTTTCATGGCGTGGTACTTGTGGAGGTAGAAAATAGATATTCCTCTGAGAATATTTTCCTCTATGGATGAGCTACAAAGACGTAAGCATCTCGAGTGTTCTGAAAGGTGAACAAACTCGCTAGTAAAGGAGAAGGTAGAAATGTTAATTGAAAATCCTGGGATATTCCTAATTTATTTTGTTCTTTTTTTAATTTTAAGAAACTTTTTTTTAAAGTAAATGTTCTGCCATTGGCAATTTAATCATGTATTCATCCTCGTGGAATTCGTAAGAGTCCCCTTCATCCTTATTTTTCCATGACCACTCCATGTCCCCATTGTTGATAAGAAAATGAGGAATTCTGTCTCATTTCCTCTCCTCAGAATTTCATTGGATGAAGAGATGCTTCCGGTGAAATTCCGCTGCCTTGCATGGAGGGCATGGAGATAGTTCGTAAGAGGTCCGGATTCAACTCGAGAAAGTGGCTCCACTGCCTAAGTGTGATACCACCATCCTGGTTGGAATGTAGCATCATGTAGACTTGGATTTTCTCATATCTGGCGACCTTTGCAAAACGTCCAACTGTCAGATGGATTTGGAACTAGGAGAGTTTCCAGCTGTTGGAATAGTGTCCATCTGTTTAAAAATCCACCCCGGGTAGAACATCCAACTGTTTCCAAATCCGGCTGTTATCCACTTGGTCGTTCAGCTCAGCCAGGGCGGATGTTTTGTAACGGCACCGTCACCGCGAATTTTTTCCACCGCGATTTTCCCGCCTGGAAAATCACAACCTCAGACACCGAGCCAGACTCGAACACGACAGCACTGTGGGATTCACTTGGGGAAGGACAATTCATAATTTGACAGAGATTACGGGAATCCTGGAACTGTGAGTGGAAAAAAAGAGACAAGTCCCTCCACACCAAGTCAGTCACGAGAGAAATTTACCGCATTAATGAACAGCGTGCTTTGTACTTGTTCCTGCTTTTTTTTGTCAGGAACAGTTGGGACGTAAGGTCGGAACACCACTATGGTATTTGCCTCTTCCTCTTTTCACATTCCGAATTCTTCCAGAGTAACAGCATATTCTATGGAGCATGTTACGCTCAATTAATCACTCCAGCCTGAGTTTTCCGACGATGACTGCTTAATTATTGAAGATCGACCAATCACATGTGCAAGGCTTTCAATGGCACGATATTTTCAATCGAAGTGCCCTCAGTCCATCACGGAGATGACAGAATCGCGGCTCCTGGCTTTTGGATCCACTTCACTCAAAGCTGGTCATGTCTTAATTTTTATAACATTAGAAACAACTACATCAGGTACTGTTAATAACATTTTTTGAGTTTATCTTGTAGCTTGCTTATAAAACTACATGCTATTCATTTTTTGTCCATAAACTAGACAACGCTTGACTTCCGAGTAGCGGTTGAGGGGTTCGCTCTGGGACACCATGTTCAGTTGGAATGAAAATTTTTTTTTCGCGAGCGAGAACGTGGTGGACAAATGTGCACTACGATCCTGACGACGATCCCTTATCGTAAAATAAACCGAAAAAAATGAGGAACCGACCTGCATCCCCTTCGATGGTATAGAAGGCCCTAAAAGGCTTGGTATCTTTCAAAGTCATCATATCAACCCAGGCGACACTGGAATTCACTATCACCGTAGTATTCTCCTCAACAGGGGATCCATAATAAGCCAGCAATGTTTCATCGGTTCTATTTGGGAAACCGTTTTTGTATCCATAGCCAATCCGCAATATCAAGGTATCGTTGGGGAAATTCCCAAAATCATCCGGAGTCAAAAGGATCTCGATTGCGCCTGTTGTGCAGGCCAGGATGTTCCAAAGGCAGTGCTGTAAGTTAAAAACAGCTATTTTAGTTGTTTAAAATTTTAAATGGATTATTATCTGCCATTCCTATAAGTATTGATACAATGGGGAAATGCAGATACTGCGATCGGTACTTCACTCTAAAAAAAATTAATTCCATTTGTCCACAGCAAACATAGCGACCGGACAACGCGCCCATTGCTCATGTGCAGTTTTCTGCCTGGGTCGGGGTGCACGTCCAAAAACTAAAACATCCACCTTCCTTCCAGCCCTCGCGGATGCCGGATCCATAGTAGGCAATGGGTGAGAGAAGCAATTCGTGGCCGCGTAGACGTATTTACTGGGCGTACACGTGAAATGCCTCATCTGGTATCCTACACTTCATACTATCCTCCCATCTTCACGCAACGCAGACGCGCGAACAATTGGGAACATGTCTAGTTGTTAGTGTATTTTCATAATGGCCTATGACGTACCTATGACAGCAATAATTGATTCATTTGGTTGGATGATTAGAATGCGGTGAAAATGATAATCTAGTGGAACAGGGGACAGTGGAATGGCAGATCTGTAACTGGACTGGTACTCTCTAGTTGATTATTCAGCTACATTTTTGATATTAGAGTCCTATAACCACGATCTGGCAACTAACCCCATGTAATCCCACAGCGGACCGAATAAAAATATTTTCATAGTTCACGTAGCTGCAGATGGAAGACCATGCGAGACACCAGTATGAATTTGAGTGTCACACCTAGTATTTTAGGTGCCCTTCCGAAAACGTAAATCAAAATGATTTTCAAAAACTCGCTCCAACATTACGAAGAAAATAACTTGTTATTCGTACTTTTAAAGACCCTTCTCATTGTAAATTTTTAATATTGTATTACGTGCGCATTTTGCAGATGGCAACTTGCACATTTTGCACGTAGATTTTGTGCCGTATTGCCAAGGTCATGGCCCGAAGATAGATGTGTTTACAAGAGATGTAGTTGAAATGATGTAACTTCGCCGTGGGTCTCGGTAAACACGTTACAGCCTCACGTCAGGTATATAGGAAATCTTCGTGGTCTACTATAACATCGGTGAATAGCTTGATTGCAGCCCAACAGGAGGTCGGGGATGATTTTTAAAAGAGTTGCACTAAAGGAAAAGCTGAAATCAACATAAGAGCGCATGAGTGAACTTGCATAAGTTTGTGCATGCATGCACTTTGAGTTTGGTGACAACACCAATAATTTTCGAGCTGCTGGAGGACCGAATCCTCCGTATCCGAACCTCCCCTATTGTCTTATGAATCACGGACTAACTGCCAGGGTTTTCCTGCCACGACAAGTTCAAGGGGCACTCTTCATGCCAAGAGGACCCAACAACAGCGTGACAGAAGCACCGATGAAAAATGTACTATTACTAAATTCAAACATGAGGGTTAAACGTTTGGCAAGGTGGTACATGATGTTCCATCTGATGCTCCGCGTTTGCATTCCCAACATTCGCAAAACCCAATACCAAGAGAGTGAAAGAAGCACGCCATTAAGTCATGCGAGAAGGCTCTCTTACGACAGACTTGGTATTTTGGGACTTCTCCGGTGGATTCGATACACAGTTCCAGGATTCCCGTGGTCTCTGTCACATTCTGAATGCAATTTTCAATGAGCAGACACGATTTCGGCGGGGACGTCCACGTCTGTTCCGTCGTGGTCGAGTCTGGCACGGTGTCTGAAGCATTAGTTTCCCACGATTCTGTCACGGTGGAGTCTGATGTATTAGTTTCCCACGGTTCTGTTGCGGTGACGAGGGTTGTCGACGCCATCGTCACATTGCATGCTGATAATGGAAAATATGTTCAAAGTTTCACATTTTCTCTGTAAGAATTATTTCTAAAGAAGTGGATAGCTGCCATATATTTTCCTGAGTTCAATGGTCTAGTCTCGGTTTGAAATTCGAGAACAGTTACATTAGAAGTACTATCACAATGTTGGCATGTTTTCTTTGCCCTTATCACTGACATGATATTTTCGTTGTGATGTCAGCCAAATGTGGTACAAATTTAAAGCATTTTGTTTGGTTTTCATTCTTATGTCACCGCTCTACCGACACGAAGGGGATAAGACCTCGCAACACAACGCCTAATGCACCGAGCTAAACAGTGATTCCACGTCAGGAGAAACTGCTGGATTGGATTGGGAATTCGGAAAATAAAACAAATAACAACGTGGAATTTTTTCTTGTGACTGGACGGGAGCAGAAGGGAAACACCTACCATATTGCCAAAGATCATCAATGGACTCTATCCTGAAATTATCATTGTTAGATAGTTCTATATGGTCAATTTCCGGTTTTCTATCATTCAGTATTTGGAACACACTTTGATCAGCAAGAGAGTCACGATCACCTATGTAAAAAAAGCTTTAGAATATGCTTTTCTATTCGGTTGGAGAGTTCCAGTGGGGAAACTTTTAGCTAACTCAGAAAGTTGCCCCCATCTTTTATTCAGTGTCTTTTTAAATTCATCAGAAACGAATGCTTTCGCTGCCTTTGAAAAAGACACTATATTTCAGTATTACACCTCCAGGCAAAAATGTTCTTTAGCCACCAATACAAATCTGTGTTCTCTTCCACAAGCTTAGAGAGTTCTTCCCTCTATAATGGGATTGCATAGAATTTTGAAGCGGATTTCAAAGAATATTCTATGGAGAATATATAGAGGTTTTCATTGAATGTTTTATACAGGGTAAGGGAAAAAAAGACTAACAACTTTCAACCTAAATTTCTTCCTTCCCAACTGAGTTTTTTTTCGTGAAACTTTCACATTTTATGCATGCATTGCTTATATACTTCCTGCTTCTTGTGTGAAAAGAGAAGGAAAACGGAAGTGAGAAAGAAATGAGAAGAAAACCATATATGATCAAATGGCGGACTTTCTGGGAGCAATCTTCAACAGACACTCTGCAACAGCACATACATATCCACCTGGAAAGAAATGGTCTCCATCCCGAAAGAATGAAATACTCTTGGCATCACAAAACTCAAGAACGCTATGTTTAGAGAAAGAACAACTACAGTTGCGAAGAAAATCGATAGAATCAGGAGAACTTGCTGCTTGTCTGCATATTGCTGAGAAATCTTTAAACTGGCGCAGAGAAGGCAACTGTGGCGAAAACAATGAAATTTCAAGAAGAATGACATTGTGGGGAGGACAATGAAAGTCACTGATTGCTCCAATATCGTTGATTCTGCATCAGAAAGCCCTCTGAAAAAGACATCTAGGAATCAGGAACCGTGTCTCCGACGAACGAGTCATGAGGGCCGTTCTCTCTATAGTTGCCGTTCACTATAACAGCTAGTAATGTGGCGTGAAATCTCTGAATACTCGAGAACACCTAAAATGCCGTTGAAAGTGCTACCATCTGTTTTTGGAGGGATTTACTCGACGGAAGGAAGTAAGCGACTGAGACCCTTATTGTAACTAGATACCTTTTATCCTGGTTTATATACAATTTAAATCGTAATACTTATTTATTCATTGAGAAATTATGAATGGGCCCAATCGCCTAAGACAGAGAGGAGCGCTTGAAGAAGCATGAGTCTGGAGATAACAATATGCATTAGTAGACGCGAATAGGCATGAATACTCATAGTAGCAGATGCCATGGTTGCAGTAAGGCAGAGATTTCCATTGCCTAGCAATCAAAATAGTGAAGGAAGAGAAGAAGGTGAAAATCTCTTGCTGAGCAATACAAACGACCTATCCTTCTGAATGGGGAGGGAAGCTGGTAGTGCTGACTTCAGCCCAAAAATGTCGATGCGAAATTAACCTAAAACTGTATTCAGTTTCTGTCATAGAGAGGAAAATATACATTGCCCTTAACCACATTTGGCCCGGGGGGGGAGGAGGAAATTCTATGAAATGCATTATCAGTTGCAGCACGAAGACTTGGACAATTTTGCCACATTTAGTAGTTGCGATATGAAGAGATGTAAACCATTAGTTTTAAATCCGTGCGCTCACGAACTGACAATGTCGAAACAGAGCATTTCATGCATGTCTTTTTGCTCTCTCTCTTCCTTAGTTTCACTGTCCCTGGAAGCAGCCTGCGAAGAACCATTTTGTGCACGTCATCATGCAAGCACATCTACTGACTCAAGATGTTCTCCCTTTCTCGCACTTTCAGTAGAATCCACCACAGAATTGTTAAAACTTCCCAATCTTTTTCGTGTCCTTTTGAGAACACCAAAATTGAAAACAATATTGAGCATTAATTCAATGCTACAAACTCACATGAAGCACAGTCTTAAACCGGCAACGGGACTGATAACGCGACAAACTATGACATTTCATAAATGCCAGCAGTTATCATAGCAGTAACCTCCTTAGTTGACAATGCCTCGTACTCTCATTGTTGGTTGTGAGCAAACAGAACGGGAAGGCATTCAGGACAATCCAATTCTCATCGTCGAAATTAGGCCCCACGACGTGAAAATGGTATGACTTTTTGAACTTCCCATCGAATAATTATCGCCCCCAGGTTATAAGCTTTCAATTGACACCTACAGTATTACAATTAGACACACTGAACGAATTTGGAACTCTCACTAATCAGATGAAGAAAGGGAGTATGGTTCCCGTCAGCAGAGACTCCCAAGGAGGATGCCTAATATAATGTTATTTGGCCCTTAAGCCGAATTCAATGAATCACTCGAAAGGGTGTCCTTTGCAGAATAATAAAATGCCACTTTTTACTCCAATATGAAGGGTTTGAAAAAGTTAGGTTAGATTAGGTTAGGTTTGGTTACGATTAAGTTATTTTGCATGAGTTTGCATGAGTGAATACTTTCAGCAGTTTTGAGGGAAGGAAAATACTGACACCAAGAAGAAATCAATTAAAAAAGCGATTGAGTTGTATCTTGTAAGACCTCACAATGTATCTACGAATTAATAACTCATATAATGAATCTTAAGATTTTCGAATTACCAGCTAATGTTCCCACAGTGCTTTCGAATTTATGTTCATTATAAGTTGCTGGCTATCTGGAATTCATTTATTGGAAGTCCCATTTGAAAACTGTTAAACAATTTAACATAACCTAACCTACCGTATTGAAACCCTTCACATTTGGATAAAAATTATACCGTTCATGTTCACAAGTGAGACTGATAACAAAAACCCTAATTTTATTAAAATTAGTTTAAGGCCAAAAATGGGCTAACCCAACGTAACCTAACCTTAACCTAACGGAACTTTTTCAAATTACTCAGATTTGAAATATATATATTTTGGTTTGGCTAAGGACGCCCTCTCCAAATATACAAATCTCTTTGATGTTGGTTTAAAGCCCGAAACTGGGCATACTCATTTCCCTTTAGTAACGATATCCAATGAATTCTGTCTCATAAAATTCGACGTCTTTCGGATTTCATAGTAAGAAATGCCTTCCGCATTCTAACAACTTAAAAAGAACACATTTTGGAAGTAATCAAGGAACTTTAGCTCGGAGTTGAAAAATCTAGCCAACAAGTTTGAATGTTAGAGTCAAGGTATAAAAGTTAATGATGCTTAGATACATTGAAAGATTTTGCAAAATATAATTCACTTCTATTTACCGTATATTGCAATTTTTTTATAGCCAGCATTTATCTTCCCTGAAAATTGTTGAAAGAATGTGTTCTGATTAAAAACTTAACCAAAATAAATGTATCATAACCTACCCTAACTTAACCTAACAAAACATAATCACACCAAACCTACATTTTTCAAACCCTTCAGATTGGTGTAAAAGTGGTATTTTATTACTCTGGAAATGACACCCTTTCAAACAATATATGATTCATTGAATTCAATTTAAGTTCCAAAAAATATTATATTTGGAATCCTTCTTTTGACGTGGAAATCTCAGAAATTAAATGTAAATAGGCTGGGAATTGTTGTTGCCTTTGCCCGTTTACAGAACGAAAATACGACGGGCGATGGAAAAGTTATAATCCTTAGGTACTTTCATGTACAAAACACCTTTCTTAATCGTCTTATGAAAAGACTGATGTCTTTAATGGTGATTGCCAAATTTTAATCACAATCGTCAATTAAGTATAGCTTAGAATATTGATTTTTTCCATGTGCTTGAGTTCCAATTATCCTGAAGATGTTCGCTTTGGAGTATCATTGCCTATCTATGTATGCAATACCCACCTGTCACGCTTATTCCTAAAGAACTGTACGTGACACAATGTGCCTGGTGTCAATCGACTCTACATGAAGTGATGGTTTGCCGAAAATTGTCAAATCATTGAAATGTTTATTAATTACAAAGTAAATTTTTAAATTTCCTATTATCCATATTCATGATGAGGAAATCCGTCTGTCATTCCGAGAAATTCATCCTAGGCAGATGAACGAGTTTTAATAATTGATGTGTCAATCGTAGACTCATGACCAAGAGGCGATACTTATTTCGTCAAGTGTCCATAGAGTACGCTGCTAACATGACTTTTACAGTTCCTTCTGTCTTTCTGCGTGTCGGAGGCCTGCACAGGTTGACTTTTCCTAGTTGAGACTCGATCGGAACGATTCGAATCGTGGCCCGCACCCGTCCCGGAAAGCGATCGTCAACCGAGCTTGCTACTCGGAGCCGCGAATCGTGTTGAACTGGCATGGCCGTCCCGACGCCCGCTTAGGCCTCTAAGCTTGGGAACTCCAGGCCTCTGATGACGCATTTGCCCCAGAGGGGACGGAGGGACCCTCGCAGATTTGTGGAGAAACTCATTTTCGGGGGGAAAAGGTTCAGAATAATGGGCAATGCGTGGAAGAAGGTGGGGTGGCCCAAGGGTGCCTTTGGCATGGAAAACCGTGGAATACACGGGAAATATGAAACTCATGAAAACTCCCCTGAAATATAAACCTATTGGTTAGGGATGAATTGTGTGCATACATATACATAATACGTAAGAGGAGAATCTGTCCGTGTCAGGGTGTCATTCCGAAGAATCTCCTCCGAGACTGATAAATGGATTTGCATGAGTGAGATGTCAATCGAAAACATATGATCGGATGCGATACTTCTTGGATCAAAAGTCCAAAAAATCGTCCTATTTTCATGTAATGAGGCCAAATTTCGGCGATTAGAATAACATTTTACTGAATGCCTTCCCGTCCCCGGTTTGCTTCCTCAGTTTGCAACATTTACTTTAGCACCATATTATCAATTTTGTCAAATTTTATGTTCTCAAAATACCGCGAAACAGGTGAAGTATTGACAATTCTGCGACGGGATCTACTGAACGTGCGAGAAAGAGAGAAATTTTGGAGTCACAGTCAGTGCATGTATGTGCATGATGTCGTGCACAAAAAGCTGTTTCGCAGACTGCTTCCAGTAATAGTGAAACTGACGAAGAAAGAGCAGATAGACATTCACGTAATGCTCTAATTTGACTTATTTCAACCCCTGTGCTTGCACGGGCTTTTACACTAGTACAATATAAAGCCGCGACTGCAGTTCGCCGTTCCTTCAAAGTAAATGCCATGGGTACTTAACACGTTGGCGACAATGCGTCCTGATGGCAGGATGCAGGTTCCAAAAAACGTCTTGTGCGCAGATACTCTCTGGAACTGTTGAGAACGTTCCAGAAGATTATGATTTCAGTGGTCCCACGCGGCGGACAAGCAAAAATAGGCTGGTCGTCAACGTGTTAACCCTTATCCGGGCAGGGTACAAGGAATGATCGAAAAGTTCTAAGCCCAAGAGGTTTCCAGTTGCAGTTCACCATTCTTACTCTTTCCATAAGAAGACTGATATATTTGATGGTGACTTGGAGATTTTCATCTCTTTTGTCAATTAAATATAGCTTCAAGGAATATTTCTTCATGTGTTACCAAAGGGTCTGCTGAAAGGATATTAACATTGAAACGAATACTGTTATGAATGTTCCCAACATTAAGGAGTCGATTTTCTATCCGACCTGCGAGAGAAGGTTCACTTGGATCCTCTCAGCTAAGAAAGATTTGCCGAAAGATCCACTCCTTCGAGGATAGAAAATTGATCACAGCATTCTTCTCAATTTTAATAGAGTCCTATTAAATGGTTCAAGTCTCACTGACTGACAGCAGCTATCTGACGCAAGATACTCGACTGAAGCAGAAGGCTGTTGGAACATTCTGGAGATAAGGATGAAAGCACATCCTCTTCTCAGATGAGGAAATTTTCACGACACAGCAGACCCTCAATGCCCAGAACTAGCCCTAAGTTTAGTGGAGATATAATTTGAGAAGGGAATTGTTTTTGCCAGAAGCCAGTTGGAGGGATGGTTTGTGCTGGAGTTTAAGCAAATGACCACACAGCCCTGACTTTTGTACCGGAAGGGGCCAAAGTGGACAGACATCAGTACCACGAGCTGATTTTGGAGTCTGTGTTAAAGCACTGGTGTGGAAAATTCCTCAAAGATCAGCGGTGGTGTTCCGGCAAGACTGCCCCAGCTCGCTTCGCCAAATTGACTCAACAATGGTTGGAGCACTAGGTGCCCGACTTCATCGAGTCGACAGATATTCGCTCATTTGCTCAAAACCATGAGGGGAATACCGTGGACATCGTCTATTTATATTTCGCGAAAGCGTTCGATACCGTTCCTCACAAGAGGTTGCTGGTTAAACTGGAGGCGCACGGGATCCAGGGTAGGACGAGCGAGTG